GATGAGAGTGCAATATCGCCCACAAAAGATGAGGTGCCTCCAGACATAATGTCGAAATGCCTCTTTTTCGACACCTCGGTGTCAAGGGCGAATTCTTCAGTAGCCTTCCCCTTCAAAGAAGTCTTCTTAGGCTTTGGCAAAAACTTCTTATATGCTGAGCTCGTCATGCTAGCTGCAGGAGATACAAAAATCAAAATGCAAATTATGAAATAAATCAAAGTAAACATATAAGGGAAACTACATACTACATACCGAGCTCTTCAAGGAGATCCTCTCCAAACTTATTTACAATTCGACTTAAGTCGATAATGCCGAATTCGTCGGCATAGCCAACCAGGACGGAAGTCGTAAATCTCTTCGAATCGGAAAGAGCTACTCCTGGGGTAGTGTAATCCCTAGGACGCCTTTGGTAGTGATTCTGCGTCTAATAAAGCTCGAACCGATATGCCAAATCCCCTTTGTTTAACCATGACGAGGCAAACCGGGGGAAGGAATCGAGACGAGCTGCCACTTTGAAATAGGCATCCTTAAAGCCTTTGAAAGATTAGGAGTATGGGATAAAAAACCCCGATTTGGAGCACCTCAGAGGGTAACCTAACCCTTCCTTTCTTTGGCCTCGGCCCCAGTCTGGGCTGTATATACATCAAATAAAAAGAAAAATAGACAAACTATGCAAGGAAGACAAACATATGCACACACTTGCTCAAAATCTCGAATGAAAGCCCATGAGTTGGGATGAAGTTGTGAAGGAGCAATTCGAAGTCGGTGGATCACGACAATTTGAAACTCAGAGAGAGGGAACCGAATTGCCAACTTGGTAATTAGGTCTCGGTAAAAATAAAAGAAATGAGGCTCGTCCTCATTAGGCCCGCACATATCGGGTTATCCCCTGCTAGGAGAATGTCAACCCCATTGGGGTCTCCAACTGGAAGTTGGGTTACCTCGGCAGGAGACATCATAGATCGCATGTTGAGAATCTTAAGAAGAACCTTATTCCGGACGTCAGACTCTTCCATAACTACAGTCCTGGAACACGAAGGATGAGGGTAAGTATAAAAATCAGCCAAATTCGACCTAGGGCAACCTGAGATGGGGGCAAAATGTAAGACCGAGGAACTGGATCACGAGGGGAGCTCGACCCAAGAGAAGCTACAGGATCCGAGACCGAAGGGGGCCACCCCTACCAAAATTAAGTTCAGTTTGACGTTCCCCTCTTCCTCTCCACCTCTCCATTTCCTGCCGCGTCAACCTCGGGAACTCCGGTGACCTCCTCGAGGGCCCCGAAGAAGCTGTTGAAGCTTCTCATCCTCGGTATATTCCTTACCATAAAACCAATACTGAACTGCCCTAGGCAATTTCTTCACTACTTCCTCATCCTCCTCATCACCTCGGCCAGAAACCGGATCAGAAGATGGACCAGGAGTATTCATCAAGAATTCTAAAAACAAAAAATCCCTTTCGAAAGCAGAGGAGACTCAAAGAAGAAACACAAATTGTTGTTCTTCCTAGTAGAAAGCAGAATGCAACAACTCTAAAACCCTAAGATTGTATATCCAAATGAACAGTAAAATAAATGAGGGAAAGAAGAAGTACATGAGAAAGGAACAGGCAAAGCAACTATGAACTCTACGAAGATCTTCACAAATAATGACAGCAAGGAGGGAATGCCTATAGAAGATAATGCCAGAAACGAAGGAGAAAGGCAACTGAGGAAGGTGAAAGTCACTAAACATGTTGAAAATGAATATCTATACAAAGGAAAAAACATCTCAGACGTGAAGATGAAGAGGTTTTAAACGGTTAAATAACCAAGGGCAAAGTGGTAATTTTCCTACTGCACGCATTGAATAAATGCACTCATGGCCTGCAAAAGCTCAGAACGGCGCCCATTCCACGAAGCACGAAATGCCAACAGGGGCATGACACGTGGAAAGTTGTAACCGTCATTGCAGGAGAGAACTGAGAGGTCAAGTTGATGCGATAAGGACTAGATTTGACCTCATCCACGACATCATAGTCGAATCCTTTAAACCAGAACCATACTCCATTGACGCGTCAAATGTCGAGCTCGAACCCGATGTTCGACATAACTAACACGCAACATCGAATGCAAGAACTCGGTAATACTAAGGCCAAGATGATACATAAACACCCCGGCATTCCGAGCTACAGAATACCAGGCTGGGGGGCAACTGTTATGGATATATATCATATCCTAACTACCTACCTAAGAAGTCATTAAAGGATAAATGCCTAATTATCCTAACAATACTAAACAACAAGATACTTGGGATAAAATCCTTATCCCAACAACAAATAAGCTAAATCCTATTGCAACTGGGAGATCTACATAAATCCTAGAGGTAATCCTTATAAATAAGAGGCTAAAGACCCCAGGTACACACATTTTGACCTATTTACTATTACTGCCCACACTGCACACACACCCACGTCTTGGCTATAAGCCTATTGCTTGTGCGTAGTGATTGGGATACTGGCTATAAGCCAACTACGATACCTACCTCAAGGGTATCTCTGAGCGCGTACCATTCGGTATAGCAATACGGTCATCTCAGACCTAACACATTGAAATGACCTATTTCACATTCTCTTAATTTATTATTCAGCAAATTGCTTCAGTATTAGAATTTAGAAGCTGAAATTTGAGGTCATTGTAGAAGAGTATACTAGCAAATAAAATTACAAAAAAATTTTAATATGAGTTCTATATTTTTTTGTGATAAGATGAAACAATTTTTATTTTTTAGTTTTTTTTTTGTTTTTAAAAATGTGTGACCCGACCAAGTCACGGGTCGCCGGATTCCAGGTCGACCTGGCAAGGTCGGGCCGGGTTCATAACAATGCTCTTGAGTGAAGTCTTACGACATAGTGTAGTTTGTAAGTTTGTAAAAAAAAAAGTTTGTCAATATAGCCCTCCACATTCTTTATAATACTCAATAAATAATTAAAAAAATTAAAACTTCTAAAATAAAAATTATTTTAATAGATAGAATAAAATTGCAAACATTTATTATGAAGCCAATTTCAATAAACACTTGATAATTCAACCTAAATACTATAACGATTAGGGTAACATAACAATTCCCAACATAAGTATGTTAGTTGCTAAAATTTAAGTTCGTTTTATATTGAAAAATAATTATTGTAAGTCTCATAGAGGTAGTATCCTTTGACACCAATGTCAAATTTGAAATTTGACACCTCATCTGAGAGTCATTAGAACAAAAAAGATCAACGATTCTGATTTGTAAGCATGTGAAACCATTGATTCTTTTTGATCTAACGGCTCTCAGATGAGGTGTCAAATTCAAATTTGAAATTTGATATCTCATCTGAGAGCCATTAGATCAAAAAAGATCAAAGACTCTGATTTGTAAGCATGTGAAACTACTGATTCTTTTTGATCTAACGGCTCTCAGATGAAGTATCAAATTTTAAATTTGACACTGATGTCAAACGATCATTACCTCTATATATATATATATATATATATATATATATATATATATATATATATATATATATATATAGAGGTAATAAAATACTAATCTAATTTAACTATTTTTTTAGCGTTTTTGTGCTTGTGGGGAACTTACTGTACATCAATGCTCGTGGCCTTGTGCTGACTTGCTTGCCAAAAGGACAATCTCTTGAGCTTGGTGTTTTTTACCTTTGTCCATGTTCCTTTGTTTTTATAGGGTTTTTTTTTTAAATTAACTTAATCCTAATCATCTCTTTAAGTGGAGTTGACTCCTCTCGATATTTTCACAAACTTCAATTTATAAACCAGTTATGAGACTAATCTGTAGTGCAGGACGTGTCTATAAAAATCGAACCGAGTGTCTTTTCTTTCCACTTACTTAACTTCATTACTATTAATTGAGTTACCACCATTATAGTTTTTACAGAATTTAGAATTACAAAAACACCTTATTTTCACCAGAAAATGATGTCGTTTTGGGTTTATTGGAGATAATTTATCTTCATTGACCGGAGAGATCCTTTATCCATATATATATATATATATATATATAGGGAAAAGTATTTCTCCAGTCACCGGAGATAAAGTTATCTCCAGTGAGCTCAAAATGACGTCGTTTTGGGTTATAAGATTAAAAAATTATAATGATAAAGACTAATATAACCCTGCCATATATTATAATTACAAAAATACCTTAATTTCTGCCTCAAAACGACGTCGTTTTGGGCTCACTGGAGATAACTTATTTCCATTGACTAGAGAAATCTTTTACCCATATATATATATAAGGAAAGATCTGTTTACAATTTTTTTTTATAAATTGCACTAGATGACCGGTCATACACTCCTGATTGAAGTATGAACGGTCATACTTAGTATAATTTGTAAGAGTTAGTAAAAAAAAATTTGTAAATATAACTTTCCGATATATATATATATATATATATATATATATATATATATATATATATATATATATATATATATATATATATATATGGGCAATGAAATTCTTATGTTGCATGATAAGGATTTTATTCCAGCAGACACAGCCAATGTCACAGCAATACTTTCAAAGGGAGTGCTGGAGAAAAAAATCCAATTGCTTTGACATAAGATTTGATTTTTCATATATATATATATATATATATATATGAGAAATGTTTTTCTCATGTTGCATGATACAATTTATCTCATGCAACACACAAAAAAGTGGATGAGATCCACTAAGAAGAGGAGAGAGAAAGGAAAAAAGTGAGTCTCACACACTTTTTGTGTGTTACACGAGACATTTTGTGTCATGCAACATGAGAAAAACATTTTCCTATATATATATATATATATATATATATATATATATATATATTGACATTTACTCGCAAGAAATCCACCTAAGAAGGAACCATGACTTTGTGTTTTTTAAGGGATTGCATTTAATTCTTAAAGATGAAATTTTTATTTTTAATTATTATTATTCTGGCCATTGTTTTCTCTCTGAATATTCCCATCTTTGTTTGATTCTGAACAAGTCTTCCTCTACAGCAGCAGAGTTGTTGAGAACTCTGCTTCATTCCTTGGTCCAAGTTTAAAATTTTGTTTATGTTTGTCTTTCTGTTTCGGTGTCAGAGAGCACACAACAAGGAGTGAGAACCGTTGACCTCAATCTCCATGGCTGTGAAACCTCTTATTGTAGCTGGGCTTGCAAGTTCTCAACTTGGTTGTCACAATTTGAGGACCAGACATCATCATGCTTTTGGGTTGATTTGGGAAAATCAGCTGAAGAGAACACACAATTGGGTATTCCTTGGTGGGGTATCTGTTGGCCGAGCCATGAGGCTTGTGGAGAATGAGAATCCACGGAAGCCAGCAAAGATACTGGTGCATGTGGTTGATCATGATCAAACGGGTGGTGATGTCTCCCATGGATTGCATAAAGATTTGCTCTCTCTTCCAAGTGGGTTTTATTTTGTCTACATTTCACTTTCTTCAAGATGATTGTAGGAGTATCATTTAAGGAACCTTATTAAAAGTTTGTGAGAACCGAATTTCCATATTGGATTTAATTTATTCCTTTGTTGCTTGCTTGCTTTACATTGCTGAATGAATAAATTGTCGTTTTATGTACTGTTTCTTTTGTTTGATTTTAAATGGTTAATTGAACTTTCTCACTTTTTGTGACAACTTGCAAAGCCATGGTTGGGAACATACTAGTTATTGAACTTAATGTGATTGTGGCTTATGATCTTTTGTTACCAGTCATGGCAAGGATTAATACTAGGCCTGGTTGAGAAAATATAATCATTGACACTTTACCCCGGACTACAGGATACATGGCTTTCTGTTTGGAGCTTTTTTCTTTGAAATTAGGAACTTTGTTAACATTGCCAAGCCAAAGAGTGGACAAAAAAAAAAAGAAAATTCCTTTCTGTTGCTTTTAGCATTTATTTTTAAAGCCAAAGTAGGCTGATGAAATGGTAGCAAAATAATGTGATTACAGGATGAAGGGAATAGAATACAGTCGGTCAGTATTGATGAAAGATTTAAATACTATTTTCTCCCCTAGAGAGTTATAAAATCATGAGGGAAATTTTATTTATTTTATTTTTTGATAATATAAGGAAGGAACTTGTTGATGGGATAATGTTATCATCAAATCTAGATTATGAATCCCATCTGCTGATTAGAATAAGTTTTTGACATAACAGTTCTTGTGCTAATTTCGTTTTGATCTTTCATTCATAGTCTTATATTTCTCATTATTTTCATGTTCTTGAATGCTGGGAAACATTGTTCTGAATTTAATATGCATCTAAAGTTTATCATCTCATTTAAAGAGCTATGCTGTTAAGATCAGACTAGTTATAATCATTTAGAAAGTTACAGGTCTTATTCTGTTTTCTTTGCCTTCTTATTTCATTATTATTCCACCATATGCATTCACATTGTGTATTTTGTCATGAGTTTTACCGTTAGATCTCAGACTTTGCAACTACTGTTTTTGATACTAACTGTAGGGCCATTATCCATATCTGATATTATGGCTTCTTCTGATGATGGTGCTAAAGTACGAATATCATATAAGGTATGATGTATCTGATGGTTACTGTCTGATTTGATTCCCATAGCCATGGTTCAATATTTGCTTGGATTACTGAATTAGGGGATACCAGGATCATACAGCGAGGATGCTGCACTCAAAGCTTACCCTAAGTGTGAAACAGTTCCGTGCAATGATTTTGAAGATGCTTTTAAGGTTTGACATAGCCTGTAATATTCTTTAAGCTAAACTTCAGATAAAACTGTAACATTCCTTATATTTTAAGATTTATTGGAGATGATTTTGATTCAACATACTATATGCTTTCCTAAGGGCAAGGACTTGTAGGCTTGAAATTTCAATGTCTTTCTGATGACCTTCTGTCCTTCTCATTTATATGTGCACTCATCCTCACCCTTTCTCCCCACTCATTTTCTAATTTTTTTTTTCTTAAAATTGTCTGACAGGCTGTTGAAATATGGTGGGCTGACAAAGTTATCATTCCAATAGAAAATACATCTGGGGGAAGCATTCATCGGAACTATGATTTACTTCTTCGCCATAGGCTTCACATTGTTGGTGAGGTGCAGTTGGCTACTAACCTCTCCCTTCTAGCTTTGCCTGGTGTAAGAGCAGAGCACCTAAAGCGTGTTCTAAGTCATTCCCAGGTCAGGCTTCATGTTGCTCATTTCTGGCTCTTTTTTTAGATGTGGTAGCATAGAATTGTAAGAAAGAAATAGATGTTTTATTCTGGTTTTGAAATTAATATACCATTGCTCCACCCATGAATGGACCTGGAATTAATATTCATTTAACATTGAATTTTAACGTTTCAAACTGGTTGAATTGTTCTTTTCAAAGCTGAGTAATAACTATTATACCCATTAGTTGAACAACAAGAGTGTAAATAACCTTGAGATACACCACCCCAAAAGCTAGCTCAAACGGTGGGAGTGCCCAAGGCCTTATAAACTCCACATTAGTTGCTCATACAACCAATGCGGGACTATATATCTCAACACGCCCCCTCACACGAGAGCCCATTGGGCTTGAAGAGTGGATGATGCAATAGGCCCAGCCTACCTGTGCTAAGAAATTCCACAAGAGAAAGTGGGGGACGACGAGGCTCTGATACCATGTAAAGAACCTTGGGATACACTACCTCAAAAGCTAGCTCAAAGGGTGGGAGTGTCCAAGGCCTTATAAACTCCACATTAGTTGCTCATACAACTAATGCGGGACTATATATCTCAACAATTAGGCATGTAACCAGTATTTTTCCTAGCCTCATTTGTTTAACAGTGACTAATTCGGAGCAGTAGACTGTAGACCACTTAGTTATCAACCCTTTTGTTTGGTTTAAGCATGGGCACCATCTCTATAAGTAGCTAAATCTATGAGTAATATGCAAGTGTTGTTGAATATCTGAATATGTACTAGTTGTTGGAATATATATAATATATCCTATGGGTTATGAATAAGAAGTGAGTTAAGGAAGAAAAGAAAAGAGGGAAGTTGACGGGGTGTGTGGGTTCTAAGAAGTCCCACATTGGACAATTAGGAAAAGGTGAGAGAGTTTATAAGCTCCCACCTCACACTCCTAAATTTCCCCTTGGGGCACTACACTTTTGTGGAGAGGAGAGGAGCTAGGTGGCCTTTGGTCAACCACTTCCAGCCGGCCGGATCGGATCGGTTCGTACATGTGTGTGAAATAAAAGTAATTTTTTAATTTTTTGTCCAACCCTGTCCTTATCCGTTGCTTCCCTCTAGATTCTTCAAAACCAAACGTTTCTTCTCGCCGGTTTTTTGAATGTTTTGAACCGAACCGGTTCTTACTTTTCGGTTCGAACCGACGCGTTCATTCATATTGAACCGAACCGCCGAACTGGTCACTAGTTATACCTGTTCGCGGCCGTCAGTCATGGCCGTTCGCCGGCGGCGGCAGTTCATCGTGACCGGTCAGTGTCTATATAGACACTGACCCCTTGAGAAGTTTTATCTAATTTTCTGCACTGTTATTCTGCCGGATTTTTTCCTTCATCCGGTTTGCATACTTCCTTCCATTTTCCGGTGTAATCCCTTTGGCATCTTGTTGTGTTTGTTCGGGCTGTTGACTAGTAGTGCCACCAATCTTCAGACACAATTGTTCTATCCTGGGTGACAAATGTCCATCAACCTTCGACATCAGTGAGGGGGCAAATTGTCTTATGGAGACACTTTCTGTGGGCTCGGATTTCTTACACTATCCTGCATACATTGATCATTCTGTTCCATCTGTAAGTTTGTTCTAATTTCCTTATTGCACTTTTTTGATAATTATGATTACTAATTTCATCTGTTCTATATACGGGTTCAAACCTCTTAGTGATTTTTAATATCACTCACTGTCTTCTTTACAACACTAGTCATATTATAGCTGTGAAAAATTGAAAGCTTTTTTTCTTGCAGGCACTTGAATTGAGTGATAACTTCCTGACTAAATTAGGTGTTGCCCGAGAAAATGTTGATGATACAGCTGGTGCTGCTCAGGTATCCATCTATATATCTTATGCAACTTTTGAGTTTATCTAACAGATTAGTGGAGAGTAATTTTGTTTTCTGTTTTTCTTAATGCACACGTGAGATTAGCATGTAGCTTCAAATGGTCTATATGATGCTGGTGCCATTGCAAGTGTTCGAGCTGCAGAAATCTATGGGCTTGATGTACTTGCAGAAAGAATCCAAGTAAAACCCCTTATCAATCATCTTCATTTGCAAGAAATATTCAATTTACTTTCTTCTCATTACCCTTCATTTGATTGTCAACAAGTATGCCTTTGAGAGGTTAGTGTGTGCATGTTTTTAGTTCTTCATAATAATCTGAAATTTTGAAGGCAAAGAAACTAGGCAATTGTAACCAGAAATTTGCAATTAAAAGTTTTGGTACAGTGTTCTGAAATCATTAATGGTTATAAAGTAGAGGCGATCTTGTTTAAGAGTATAGAAAGTATGAGAAATTCTATAGTGCTCCCATAGAAAGAAAATCTCTTGCTATGTCCCATTAAACGTGTACCACCTCAACCTAACTTAAAAATGTAGTTAAAGCAGGAGATAGTAATGGCCACATAGCTGAGTAATATGCATTCCATGGTACAGAATTCACTATTATGAATTAAGAAAGAATTCACTATAAAATCTAGGGTGATTGACTGGGGATTGATGGAGCTTGATTGATTGACAACTACACATACGTATACTCATTCTTCTATTATAAATATAGGTGTTGGCTAAAGGCAATGTGTGCTTCTACCTACGGTCTTTCTAGACTGGCTTCTTCTCTACTTTTCTTCAATAGAATCCAGATCCTTATTTTCTTTAGTATTTCATCATGTTGAAGAACAATTCCCCTAAAAGATCCTTATGCTGTTAGGTGGAAGCCCAAGAATGGTCTATATCTCTGACAGATCTCATATAATACACTGCTGCTGACATTAGATGCTGCAAGACAGATATATCTTAAATTTCCACGATGGTAATATTTAGCTAAGACCTCACCTGTTCTTGAGTTCTAAAACATTTTTACTGAGGCTATCTAACTATTTAAACCCTTTCTTTATTCTCTTTTTCCTTCTTATTTGTTTCCCTTTTGTCCTGGAATCATGTGGATGACTGGATGTTTAAATCTGCTTTGAATATCTGCCAACTGGCCCCCTATGTAACCTCTGATATATCATCCATGGCACCTAGAAATATGCTCTTTACACCCTTGAACAAATTTTTACTGGTAAGAAACATCAATATATTCTAGTGAATATGTTTTTACTGATGGAATCAGCCAACTGCAATGCATTCGCTGTGTGTTATTTCTTTCAATGGTAGGGATCTGTCAGATAGAAATTAGTCAGTACAAAGAAAAACTATGTTTAATGATGTGCATAAATAAAGTTTATTAGACATGTTCTTGTCATTCGTTTGTACACAAACTGCTCAAATAGAGGCCAGATATTATGCTTCTATATTACTGTAAATAAGAAATACTCGTGTTGTCTTCAATGTCTTGTACAGGATGATTCTGAAATCATCAGTCGTTATCTTGTGCTTGCAAGGGATCCAATAATTCCGAAAGCTAATAAGCTCTTTAAGGTAATAGCTCTTTTGACCTATGACTATTGTATCATAATCATGTTACAAGATTCTCTAGAACCAATTGTTCATCATTTTCAGACAAGCATTGTGTTTACACTGGACGAAGGTCCTGGGATGCTGTTTAAGGCTTTGGCTGTATTTGCATTGAGGGACATAAATTTAAGCAAGGTATCTCAGGAAAAACCTTTCTTTTTACTCTAGCTTAATACATGATGATTTCATGAACATTAACAGTATATATTATGAAATCAGATTGAAAGTCGCCCACAAAGAAATCGGCCATTAAGAGTTGTTGATGACTTTAACACTGGGACTGCAAAGTGAGTTATGTTTTTGCCTTTTCATGTTGGAGCACTGCAACTGGCCATTTTCTTTTACATCATATTTATTGTTGCATGTTCAATATCTGATTCGAGCTAGTTTGTCTTTAATTGCTGCAGAGTTTAAACATGTCTAATTTTGTATTCTTCTCCGAAATTGTTTTTTATTGTGCTACAAATCCACAAACAAGAGTTGAAGAATAGTATTAGATAGATAGAAAAGGAATGAAACTATTACTAGTGAATGAAATCTGAAAAGAAAAAGGAGAGAATTCTCATTCCAAGGGTTTCTCTTCAACAAAGGCTTCCCTTTTCTACAACTGAGCTATTGCTCAAAATTCCCCAAAGTAACAATTCAGAAAGAATATCCGTTCTACCCCCTCCTTACTATTTAAGCTAAGCCCCTGCGCTTACTATTAAAACCACCTAATTTGTAAGTAATTCTATAACTTCCAGGGTCCTATCATTGTGGGTGTGCTTTAATTAAGGATAAACTCACCCTTAGATTTCTGAAACAATGTATTTTCTTATATGCTGATGCAAAGATTAAAATAACCTGTGATGTTTTTTTGATTTAGGTATTTCGATTATCTTTTCTATATTGATTTTGAGGCGTCTATGACTGAGCCCCGGTCGCAAACTGCTTTAGCCCATCTGCAGGTTTGTTCTTTGACATCTTATTTTAGGATTTAAGTTGTGTCTTTTAATTCTTCTTTTTTCTTTTATCTCTACTCAAACTTTCATTTTCAAAGAACCAAGGGAAAAATAGTAGATAATATTGTTCAAATGTTTTAAGCCTTCTCAAGCTTTTGAGTAGTAGTCCTCCCAGATTTTTAGATTCTAGCATGCTAGCATAAAATAACAAATTTGCCAACTATTAACATCAAGGAGAGCACAGGTTACATTAATGTTTGCATCAGCATATAAGAAAACAACGTTCCTGTCTTTTTGGGCAGCTGTAGTAATTATTAACCCTTCAACTTTCTTGTCATGAGTAAACTATCCAATATATCAAAAACATTTTATGTCCCTACAGGAATTTGCCACATTTCTTCGTGTGCTGGGCTGCTATCCCATAGATACAACCATATAGATCATACCTATCTGCGTTTTATTGGTGAATTTTCAATTAATGTCATCATATTCAAACCTGAAACTTGGAAGAGGATTTGGAGCTAACTTCATATTCAAGTAATACAGGAGCTTTCAGATGGTCAGAATGTAATGTATGATAAACAATAGTTGATCCTTACCTTAAACACATGGAGGATGGAAACGGAGTTTGATGGTCATTGAAGGTGATCTTCGGGAAGGATGAACGAAGTATAAGGTTTTAGCCAAATATAGAGTTTTCTTTCTATTACATTATCAAACCTAACAAAAGGAACAAGAAAAGGAAAATGAATCTGCTAACATTCTTTCACAGTGAAGTCATCATAGTCAATATGAATATTGCTTAATTGGTTCACATCTCATGTCTTGATTCTTGTCGTGACATCTTCCACCAGTCAAGTTGGTGTGTGGTTCATATATTATGTATTGGGCTTTATTAGTTTTCTTTTATATAAAATAGTTATTTTATATTGTATAGAGAAAATAAGTAAATCTCGTCATTACAAAAAAAGAAAAAAAAATAGGTATTAAAATCGAAGTGAGAAAGCATAAAAGAAGTTGTCTTAAGTGAATTTCACGAGAGTAATATTTCTCTTATTTATTCTATACATTTAGCCAAATATCTAGTTTTCATTCCATCACATGTCAAGTCTAATATAGGAAACAAGAAAAAGAAAAAGCTGCAAGTGCATTGTTGCACAGTAAAGTCATCATAATCGACAAGAACATGTCATGTCATGTCTTGTCTTGATTCTTATTGTGACATCTTCCACCCGCCAAGTTGGCAAGTGTTCTTGTTTATATTCTGTTCACATATAAAAAATTAAAGTTATTCGAATCTTGAATTTTGTAAAGATGAAAAAAGAGGGGTAACTAAAAGAAGTACAAAAGTAATCGACTAGGTTAAGTTTAGTGGGAAACAGTGACTCATTTGCTATTTTTTTTTTTTTAATTTTTACCTAATTGTAATGGAAATAGTAAAAAATTTTAAAGTGTCATGTATATGAATAATGAATTAACTGATCAAAATATCAGTCTGTTCTGGCAAAAATAGAATACGTGAAAACAAAATTAAAACACGTGACAGTCTGGTACAAATTCACTATACAAGATAGCAAATTATGTGTAATAAAAGCTTTTATGATTTTTTCCTTTCCAAAATTGATAAAAATGGAAAATAAAAATGTAATAAATGATACAATCAATATCACTTTCACATTACAACCTCCCGTGAATTTTTAAGACGACGGTTCATTACCTGCAATATAACCTTTCTTTCTTTCTTTTTTCACCTCGCAAACCTAAAAAGAAAACAGTATTTTTTTTTTGAGTTTTGATTAATTTTCTTTTTAAATAGATTAATTGCTTTGGTTCAGTTTTTTTATTTTTGCTTATGAGAAAACCAAAGTAAACTGAATTTGTATGACTATGTGGTAAGTTATATATTTTTATAATTTATACACTTTCAAATAATTAAATTTTACTTATTGCTGAATTAATTAAAATATATATATATACCTATTTATTGTTTATATTTCTCCATCACTTTTTATTAATTTTGAAAAAAAAATCTCCAAAACTCAAAAAAAATTATTGTTTTCTCTTTAGGTTTGTGAGGTGAAAAAAAAGGAGGGGCAAGGCTGGGAATTGACCATCATCTTAAAAATTCACGCGAAATTATGATGTGAAAGTAGTATTGACGGTACTATTTATTACATTTTTATTTTTATCAATTTTAGAAATGAGGAAATCATAAAAGCTTTTATGACACCTAGTGTAATGTCCGGCCGCTTCAAGAATCAACGACTATCCCCACATACTAACACGAGACTTTTTAGTATGTTTTTTTCTCACTCGCACACTTCCCGGGAAAACTTCCCAGGAGGTCACCCATCCCACAGAATTGCTCCAAGTCAAGCACGCTTAACTGTGGAGTTCTTCCGTTCCGGGCTACCGAAAAAAAGATGCATCTTGTTAGTATAGGTAGTATCAATTAATTCTTATAAGCTATCCCTAAACTGTGCAGTCTCATACCTGCACAGTCTTTGGAATCCCTCTCTTTCGGGTGTCGATTCGATTCATTCACGCATGTAACCCCCCGCTGGAAGCCTGTCAGGAGTCGCTCCTTGTCCATGCCCTTTCGCACCGGCGATCACTCCCCGCCCTCGTCAGCGTTTAGGATGTTACACCTAGTTCGCTAGCCAATATAGCAAATTTGTATTAGAGTGTCACGTGTCTTGTTTTTGCTTAAAGTAGATTGACAAATGTCTACCTAATTTGCTACTACTGATAGTGAACTAGGTGATCACAAAAAATGTGTCATGTCAACAAATTAAGTTTGCTACCTATTATAGCGAATTTGTACGCGTGGTACTTTGAAAAATTTTACTATTCGCTTGACAGTTGAACAATTTTTTTTAAATGGCAAATGGGTTACTATTTCGTCTAATAATAAAGATTTGGATAGACTATATTAGATTATGTGTTAATTCTCATTTATATATAAAAAAAATTACAAAAATATTATTGATTTCATTGTATGTTCATATGCACTGAATGAGTAAAATATTATTTCATGACATGTCATCATTGCAGTTGAATGTCTTTTTGAAAAAGTTCCCACATGGTGATACTGCAACTTTTGTTTTCAACAAAAAGTTCATCTTTTTCCTCATTCTGACATCAACCCACTCCATACCCATTTGACATCAAGGAATTAAATATATTTTTCCTTAATTTCTATGACCATTCGGTTCCTGTCAAGTTTTTAACTTGGTTGCCTATTTCAAATTTGAGATTGTGAAAGTTGAAATAGTAATTTTGAATAAAAATTAAGTGTGCATATTTTCTTATGTTGTAGGATAGTAGGAGAGAAAAAAGTAGAGATAAGTTAAATGTGGGTCCCACATTTTAAATTAAAAAAGAAAAGAAAAATTAATTGGCACGAAAAACGAATTTGTGTAGGGAAAAGTTTTTATCTCATGTAGATGGAGATAATGATTTCCCAAAAATTAAAGGTAACACACTTGTTAGCAGAGTATGCTCCAAGGATTATATTTCAAGTTCGATACTTGAAAGATTTTTAGTTAGACACGAAACCTTTTTGATCTAAGCCACTATCTCGGGTTTAATATATTTTTGTTTTGATGATGAGCTTGCTCTAGATCCTACTCTGATGGCAAGCAAAGTGACTAAAGGTATAAAAATAAAAAGAATAAAATCTCATTTGGGTGTTTAACAAAAAATACGGTCACTATTTTGGTTTTCTATAAAAAAAAAAATTAGTTATGAAGTTCTTAAGAAAGATAAAGTGGACCCACGTTAGTCCTTTCGTCAATCATAAACACATGACGTTAGCAACATGATTGAGGTGTCACATTAACTAGACAACTCGTGGTCCACGTAGGAATAAAAACATCGTCATATAGGATATCAGTTCTCGTTGTTGCAGAAACCAATTCAAGTTGAACTATTCTTTCCCCCTCAACATCTCCCCATGAATGTCGCCATATAGTGTTGCTTAAGCAGAAACACATTAAGTGGGTATTCTATCGTTGTCTGTACGTTGTAATTTAGGGTTTTCTGAATATTTTGTGCGTTCTTTGTAATTTAGGGTGAGAAGATGAATGTTTCTTCTGGGATGGGGAGCTCAAGCCTTTGCAGTTTAATTAGGGCTAGAAGCAAAGAAAGACTACTGCTCTAAGGTGTAAATGCAGGAGGCCAAGTGTTGTATACACCTCCAAAACTCATAGAAACCCAAACATAGCATTTTTTGGGTGTCTCAATTTCAAGGTTAGCAATTTATAGACAACTATACACATTATTTACTTTTCAATTTTTTTAATTTGTTTTAATTTCAAAGTGAGCATTGTTATTATGAGTTTGATTTCTTTTGCTGGTAGGAGAAGAAGTCTTACTGTGATTTTTTTAGATGGATGGATGATGCCTCAAATGAGAGGATGGAGCTGGAAGATTGGAGAATTAATAAGCTGGAGTAGAATGTAGATGAAATGGAATTCAAGTTAAACTATGTGGATATGAAGCTGAATGATGAATTGCGGGTTAAGGTGAATGAGCAGCAAATGAAGATTAATGAGCACCAAATAAAGATTAATGAGCTATCAATGAAGATGCTTGCAGAGTTTGATAGGGTGGAGAAGGAAATTAGGCATGTGGGTAAGTGTTCCATGGTGTTAGTTGCTACCACTATTGTTGTGTTCATTATATGTATTTTGGAAGTAGGCTAGAATGAAAAAAAAAAGTGTACCACTGTTGAGATTGATGGTGTATGTACCAGTAGCTAGTGTATTGTTGTTGAAATGGAATGAATTGTAATGGAAGGACCAGTATTGAAATGTAATAAAATATTGTTCATCATATATATATATAGGGTAAAGTGTGTGTCATTTTAAAGGATGTAAAGTTATGTCATTTTAAGAGAGAGAAAGAGATAGATAAAGGAGGAGAGAGAGTTGACAAAAAAAAAATAAAGTGTGGGTCCCATCTCTTTGTGAGAGTGAAATGATATAAGTTGTGTCATTTAAAAGGATAAATACTTTTCCCATATATATATTTATATATTATATACTTTCCCTTCTTGCATTGGCACAAAGATCACTATAATATAAACCTACTTTTGTTCAAAGTGGATTTAAAACTATTGTCATTTATAGCATTACAATTCCTTAACTACCACTTTGTAATTTTGATTTCTGTGGTAGCTGTTTGTAAATTGTCAGAAAGATTGGGGAACTAGAGTAATAATAATGAAAAAGTGGGAGTGAATTGGGAAGAAATGAAAATAGGATGAAAATAGAAAGATCTTTCTATGGTAGTGTTAAATAACATAGAAATGATAGGAAATGTTAAAATCTATGTTATAATAGCATAATGGAGGCTCACATCTTAACAACCTATTTGGAATACTTCTAACAAAAGACAAGAAATAATGAAACAGGAAGATTGATCACCATCAGACTAAGAGTTCTATGTAGAGAAAAAAAATGGAATAATAGTTCTGTTAAGATTGATCACCATCTTGCAAGTGGTTTTACCTCTACATGTAGCTGTGATGGATAATTCTCATATGTGTATCTGCACATTATGGTGGCATTCATATTTTGGTTAATGTGATGATATTGAATGGGCTACTTCTGATTGGACTTATGGCCCTCACACTTTTCAACTTATGGTGCCATTCTTGTGTGGATGCTTAATGTTGTGCAGACTGCACAATTAAACTGAGGACTAAAAAGGGTCCAGATAAATTTGTTGAGGACTCAAAAGGGTCCATGCTTAATGAATTAAGGACTAAAATGGTCCCTGATACATATTGTTGAGTACTTAAAAGGGACACAAATTGCAGAAGGATAAGAAGTGCACTAAGAATCCTGATACGACATGCATGATTGGTACCACACTCGGAAACAATAACAATTTCAAAAATCATGCACATTAACATTTAAGCAGCACTTGTACTTGAGGCATTGTTCATGACATACAAAAATATACATGACAGATAGAAATGTACATGATTGCCAAACATAAAGCATATATCACAATATGGACCTATATTCCAGAAATGTATAGAACAGACAGAAATGAACATGATCAATTCACAAACAAGCTGGAATATCTTGTATTCCTTACAAGATCATGACAGACAGAAATAAACATGGCCTATATGAAAGTGTTCCAAAAAAATGGCCTAATTTGAAGTACTAACATGGCCAATACCAAAGGTATACAAAAAGGCCTAATTACATATATCCAAATGGCCACTGATGAACATGAGTTGTCCGGTTAACGTGACACCTCAACCACGTTACTAACGTGTGTGTTTATGACTAATGGAAGGACTAACGTGGATCCACTTTGTCTTTCTTGGGGACATCGGGACTAATAATTTTTTTTATAAGGAACTAAAATAGGGACCGCATTTTTTGTTAGTGACCCAAATGAGGCTTTATATAAATAAAATTTTCATAAAAATTGGTTTCTAAATAAAAATAGTTCATAAATTTTAAGGGACATTTGGTAAAGGATAACTTTTTTCGTACCTGGGAATCATGATTTTTAGAATATGGTGGGAAAGTCACTTTCCCGGAAATGTTATTAAAAAGTTGTTTGGTAGGCTAAAATACTACCAAAATTTTGTCTAAAAAAAGTGTAAATTTTTTCAACACCTAGGATTCTAAGATTACCACTCATTTGATAGTATTCTTGGATGGTATTTTGAAAGAAAAATTATACGCAAAACAAAATCCCGGGAATATCATATTTCTGGAAAAAAATATTTAGAAACCTTATATCAAACGTGAATAAATAAGATTATCACTATCACTTTTTCGAGAATCTCAAAAAATCCCCCCAACCAAACATAGAATTTAGAGTTGTACTCATGGTCAAACCTAACTTTTAAGTCTAAATTGATTTTGAAAGTTGCCTGACTGCTAAAATTAAATTAGATGATTACTTGTTTTTCAATGTCATTTTCATTTGAAACTAAAAGAAATTAGAAATAAAATAATTTATGAATGAATTAAACTAATATAATTCTAAGTAAACTTTATACAAAAATTGCTAGATCAATAAAAGTAATTCTTACATATTGAAGGTTCCAAAGTTCAAGCACAGGGCTACTGTTGACCTTATCGTTAAATCTAGCTTTTTAGCCTAACTTAAACATCACACACGACTTGGATATAAGTTAGAGTTTCTCTTTTCTTATATGACATGAGGTAGCATTTCTCATACCATAGATACAATAAGTGATGGAGCCCATCACTTGTTAAAAAAACAAAAAAGATAGCACAGATTTCGATGTCTCACAACATAAGAAAATTATCTCCTATTACATAAAAAAATAATTTCCCTATAAATTATTATCTACTTCGGGTTTGGATACAAGTCAAATCTTGCAATGGTTTACTTCAGGTTTTATTATCTACTTCTTGGATACAAGTTATCAAAGTCCCCGTTCAAAACTTTTAAAACATTTTAATCAAATAGAGCATTCTTCTCAACCACTTTAACAAATCGATGTTTCCTTTCTTATAAAAGGATTAATGTTTCTCATATTATAACACACATATATTAAAGTGGGTGGGTCCCATCTGAAAAGAAAAGAAAAAACATGGGTTTCATATATGGAGAATATTATATTTACAAACTTTTTGTTTATAAACTCTTACAAACTACACTAAGTATGACCGGTCATACTTCAATCAAGAGTGTATGACTGGTCATACTTAATGTAATTTGTAAAAAAAATTTGTAAACGGATCATTCCTCTTCATATATATATATATGGATATAAAATTATATCATATAATATGAGAAATATTAATTTCTATATAAAAATATGAAATGTAGGTGTGTATTATGTATGTAATTAATTTGCTTGAGTATTTTATTATTGCAAGTGTTTTGGATTGGTCTTGGCCCACTTAAGTCATTTTTCCACTCCCCATTACATGACAATTTGACAAGATATGTAATAATCAATAAATATCATACTAAATAATAACTCTTGTACATGAATTTCCAAAAATCGGCTATTCCTTACTCACATCTCAACCATTGAAGTAGGATCAACCTTCACATTACTATATATAAGCAATGGCCTTCATCTTGGTTCAAGATCTTGAGACTTAAAGCATTAGATTTGTGAGTCTTTTCACTTATATAGTCATCATTTAGTATATTGATTTCACTACTTACACTTGAATCCCAATCAATCTAACACTAATTGGACTGGATCACATGCTGTTGAGCTTGGTCCAATGGTGCTCTGAGTCTTTACTGGAATGAGTGCTACTAAATGAAAGCTTTGTGGGATGGTATGTGACTTTACGAGATGTTCTACAGGATGGAGTATTTGAGGTAGGATCTCTTGATTGACTGAGGCGATTGTGGGTGCCTGCAAAGTATTTCGATACTCAAGTTGGTATATGATTTATTAGTTTTTTGTTTTTTGGAGATATTCCAATCAGTTCATCGCTTTGCGACTAGTCTAATTTGGGGTGGGTCCCAGGATTAAGGCTTTAAACCCCTCTCAGAGATGGTACTGAAAATGATCGAACACATGTTCTCACCCCTACCTACTCAGTTCTCTGACGCCAACTGAGCTACCATTATTTGGTAAAAAATAAAAAATGATCATACTTGAATTTTAAGCCTCTGTTTATATAGTAGTTGAGTGTCTTACTTATGTCACCTTAGTATGTTGACACTTAATCTTATTGATGCACATAGGTGGCTCTTGTTGGCTCTCCTTTGTGCAAGATATCTATATGTGGGCCATGCCTGATAAGCACAGGTAGAACATGTGCTTGTCCCTTAGCCATTGGCGATTGGGTGGCTGTAGAGTTTTGAGTTATTGATGTCGTGTAATAATAATAGATAGAGCTGCTAATGTCGTGTCTGTCAGTGTACCTGCGAGATAACATGTATATATGCAGGATGACTACGTTTTCTTAATCTTAAAGTTTTAGTGATCGGGCCCTTCTGGATCTTTCATGGACTCAACCTTGTATTTTGTGTGGGATAGGTCTTGATCATAACCCAATATTTTTTAAACGAATTTAAGATTCAAATCACTTTATATGAACCGGTTTAAGAACAACTCTGAAGTAGAAAATATATTTTTTAATCAAAATTGCAAAATTGATTGCACAGAGAAAACAATTTATGATGTATATGTATATTAGATATGTCTAGATCCATTTTCAATATTCATCATCCGTTTTCCATTACTCTTTATATATATATTTTGTTGAAAGTACATAATTTTATAGACAAAATGATTTCTGCAGCTGCTGTACTTACAGCAAGCAAGGATCCGCGTCCGGATCATAGGATATGGTACCGGATCTTGAGGTTTTTTTTTTTAAAAAAAAGCCGTGAGGCCCACTTTTTTGTGTCAGCTGTAAATAACAATATCTACGGCAGCTGCAGAAATGTTAAGCCCAATTTTATAAGGAAGAGAAAGACAAAGGAAAGAATATCCTGTTGCTAGAATTCACAATTTTTTTTTGAAAATGACATCACATGTGATGGCGAAAATAAGGGGATATCCACCTAAGGATAATCAAACGAAACTTAAAATTCCACAAGCACAATTATACTAGAGATGATAATGGAAATTAAATTTGACTTGATGTGTACCTCTAAAATTATAGGCAATGAGTAGGATTCAAATCCTACACGACTATGGCAGCACATAATACTATTTTTAATTGATTTAATAAAGCTAATAATAACTCTTTTTTTTAATATTAATAATAACTCTTTAATATACTACAAAACTACGAACATATTTTTTTATAAACATAATTGTTGATTTACAATTAACTTTCATTTTACCCTTGAAATATGAACATTTTTTTAGTATATTCATAAATATTCTTAAATCTTTATTGAGCACCAAAAAAATACATAATTTAATACGAACTATTGGTAGCACCCAAAGAACAAAAAAAAAACAGAAAGGTGTGGGCATCGAATGAGATGTTGGCAAATATTACAGTTTGTTTAGTTTATAGTGTTCTTTTACAAGGAAAAGGAAACATTACTAAAGATGCATCGTTTATGATGGTGACGCTCTATACTTTATGCTTTGTTCTTTTCCTTAAAACGTTAGACAGATGCTGCGTGCATATACTAAACTTCTGTAGTACAGCTCGTCCTCGAAGCATAATGTTCCTCCGTACTATGTTGTGTCCAGGTTCAATGAACTTGGCACCTTTCTTCTTTTTCTTTTTTCCATTTTCCAACCATATGATTATTTAAGTCCCAAGTGTCTTTTATAGAGGAGGGAAAGAGTTGCAAGAGATCCTCATGGGGCAAATGCCAACCCCTTAGTTTTCTGTACTCATAAACTTGGCTGTTCTATTGGTATGCTTCTCTTCTCTCTTCTTATTCATTGTTCTATGATTTGGATGGTCCATCTTTAAACTTGTAATTAAAGCAACTTTCTTTTCTTGGTCATTGCTATCTGACAGTATAAGGTTATTAAGTTTGGGTTTGAGCTCAAAAATATTTAAGTTGTTTTCTGCTTATTATAGTATAGCAGGAAAAAGAAAATGACTCAGATTTTTCCATCACAACTCTTTAGAAGCTCTAGAACTCCAAAGTTTCAAACTTTTATTTGTTGTCATTGATGGGTGTGGTTTAGATATTGTTCATAGGAAGTCTTTTGATGGATAACGTTTTGGTTGATCCGTTGGTACAGCTTGTTGGACAGGTTCTCGTGGCTCATTGTATCAGTAAAGTGCTGTGTCCCTCAAAGATTTTGATCTCAAGCTAGCCATCACAAACTAGAGAACTTAACAGCTGTTGCTTTCAGGTACTTTTATGCTGCTTTTTTTATGATCCTATGAATATTCTTCTTCATATGCCAAATCCAAGCAATTGGAGTGTGTGTTATATTAAATGGAAGTATGGAAAGCTTTTTTCTCTTCCTTTGTCTCTTTATATCTATCATTGGTAAAATAGAAAACGTTGTTGATTTTGTTTTCTTTTAAAATGGTACACCAGGTGACTCTCTTAAAGAATTTCAGTAATTTACTTGTTATTTTGTGATGAATTACTTGATAATATATGTTGGAACTAATGGAAATAAAGCAGCAAAATACATCAAGAAATAGTCTCACAACTTGAGTGGTACTTAATTTAACAGATCTATCAACAACCAAACACATATCATAAACGATGGATGTAGGTCGGTTGAAGATTTTGTGTACGGAAAGGTCATTGACTAATGTTTTTCAGGTTAAAGTCTTAAAGACCATTAATTATGATAAAATTAGCAATGTGAACTGAGAAGAAGATATGTAGTCAACATAACATGTTAAAATATATAACATAGTACAGAAGAAACCTCCAACTTCACTCAATGGAAAATGGGAAGACCTCTCCAATTACTTGGTGCCAACTGTATAATATATTATGTGTGGATCTTCTAATTTCTAAATTTAAAATTCAAGCAGGCTAATTCACTGTTGCACGTTACCTTCGATTATTGGTCTTTTCTATAACTTTGTAGCTAAACATGTATTTAAACTGTGAGAATTATTAAATAGTTTATAATTGTCTAGCCTACCATGAACTGGAATATGTTCAACTAGATATGTTGAAAGGGAATGTTTGTTTCTTTTTTTTCTTTTTGGAAAGTGGAATGTTTGTTTCTTAAAACAAAGAAAGGTTGCATTGATACAACTTATTTGTGCTTCAGCAAAGAATTTAGGGAAACCAGGGCTAATACAATTTCATTAATTTGGAGTAGGAATTTGTGTCTGTATTTGTGCAAAGATGTAACTCATTTTGGAAATGGAAATGCCACCATGAGGGCTTTGGGCCCAAACTCATGGACTGAGAGACTAAAATAGAAACCCTTTATCATTCGTTATATTGAGACTCAACCATTCAGGAAGTGCTAGAATAACTCTTTTAATAGGCACTCTTGGAGGTTCTTCAAGTAAATGTTACAACTTTCGAATTCCATATGACAAGATGGATAGAGGGTGGTGCTGGTAGCCTGGTAAAATTGGACAAAGTTGCATACAAGAATAGTCAGGACTATTGGCAGTGGCAGTTCCTGCAAGCCATGAATGAGGCCTTCTGTGGTTTTCTCACTTACAAAAATGTTTCAATTGGATGCTATCCACATACTAGACTCATCATTCTACTTGAAGAACTACAAAGCTCCAAGTGTCTCTGGGAGGATCTCAATGATGAGAAGCCTGGCACTCTCAAAGGACATACTAAGCTGCAAGTGATGATGCATATTGCTCATGGTCATAAATATGGAGCTGCATACAATGCCCTTTTCTACCTGTGCTTAGTTTCTCAAAGCGTGAATATTGTAGAGTATATTTTGCTGCTCTATGCATCTTGGTGTTGCTTCTTCCAGGTAATTAACTTGTTGGTTATGAGCTTTTAGTTTTCTGGTGATTTATCTTTTGTGCACAATCTAACTTTATTTAGCATTTTTGCTATATACACAGGCTGATGCAGTATCTTATGCTAAACAAGTTGTAAAGCTGATGGACAGTGGACACATGGCAGGGAAGGTCACAGTTGAAATAAATGAGGAGCTGATGCATCCTATTGCACAACACTGTTATATCCCAGATATGATCCGGTGCTGCCATCATATGTTACTTTGACTACAGATATTTCATTGATGGCTTTTAATAAAGTTCATCAATGATAATATTCATAATCCAACCAAGAAACCCTCTTGTACGGGACAAGGATCTCAAACCAACAAGTGACTTGTTGCTGCTTCATACAAATGTGCTTCAGTGAGGTCCTATGTTCTTGTATTGCTGCTGAAGAGAGTTCCCCTTTCGTAACTTCAAAATTTGACCCTGTTTTAATCATTTGCTGATCAGTCAACTTGATCATAGCTAAGTTTCTTTTTACATTCCATCCCTGTAGTAGTACTGATGAGTTTTACCTTTCTGTTGCTCTTTGCAGCAGAATGTAATAAATTGAAGTTTATGTGCTTGTAATTTGAGAGGTTATTTAGGTATTATGAGAAAGTTTGCTGAACTCTGAAATTCTTGCTTGAGTATTAATAATATTATGAGTTATGTGATTTCTGACTTGTTCACTTCAAATATGATGGTTTTTCTTCTCTCAATTCGTTTTAACTTTCTGTGATTTAATGTTTATTGGTTTCTTTTTCTCTTTCTCACTCATATAACAATGAATGTTCTTTACATTTTTCATTTATCCTCAAAGACACAAACATTGGCATTTCAATCCTACCAGACAATCAGTCACTTATTTCAGAACTACTAATGTAATTCACATGAAGCTACCTCATGCAAGGATTTTTTTATATTTTAGAACATTCATAATTGCACAAATATCCAGCAGATCTTAGCTCTTCACAAAACTATCCTCAGTTTGCAATTGCTTGCAACTGCCTTGTCTTCACTTTAACCCAAATGGTATGGACACAAATAGTCTCTCTAAACTTTCAAACAGAAACCCAATTCTAATTTTGTGATCATAAACTAACTTAAAAATGACTCTTCTCTTCTTAAATGCATTATGGTGTCTTTCCTGAGCAAGAAATAACTCTCATCACACTTTGAATTATTATCCATACATGAAATTATCTAATGCATCAAAATACACCAAGTCTAGACACATAATTAGTTTCATTTCCCCCCTTCCACTCCATCCATTTTCACCCTTACAAACCAAGCCCTTACCACAAATAGCTTCAAAATTAATCAGAAGAAGAAGGAAAGGCAATAATTTATAACAATGACTAACATTCAAAAGCTTAACTAAATTGAGCCGCTCTCAAGCTTTCTTCTCCTTGACAGGCGAAATAAATAGAAACCTGTAGACCCAACCAGCTAAGATTGCACCTACAAAAGGGCATATCCAATAAACATAAAACTGCTGCCAAGTGTTGTGATTGTTGTTCATATAGGCCCATCCAAAGGCATTGGCCGGGTTCATAGAAGGTCCTGTGCAACCAGAACCAGGAATAACCAAAGCCACGGTTGCCACAGCAAGCAAATACACCTTCAACAAAGGGTTTTTAGGACCCTTGAGCATGACAAATAGGATAGCTAAGTTAAGAGCAAAAGTCAACGCACCCTCAGCTATAGCTCCTGTATGCAAGTCAACCTTCAAAGAAGGACCCTTCAACATGTGTTTGTATTGGGTTGGCATGACATGCATGATGGACTTTGCACCAACAACTCCACCTGCTGCCTGTGCAGGAAAACGAATAGCCATGGATGCAAGTGATGAATCAGGCCTTAACCCTACTGTGTAGAAGGTAACAGTGGTTGAAGGGTTGAAGCTAGCACCACCCAAGGCCCTTCCAATCAAGCTTATGATGAAGACTATAAAGGTGGCTAGAATTGTTGTGATGAATAGACCAGCTAGTGAGACAGGTTCAAGACCAAAAAAAACAGCTACCTTAGCATTGGAAATTCTCAACGTTGATATACAGAAAACCCATATTGATGTCAAAATTGCATCTCCAATTGCTGCCTTTATCACCCCCATATCCTCTCTACAAGACTTTTGCTCTGTATGGTATGTCCTTTTTTTTTTTTTTTTTTTCTTGGAATTGGAATTTCATGATTAAGAAGAAAGAAAGAGATAATAAGATTCTATGTTTGAAAGATGTAATCAGCCAAAAAGATTCCAATGACCTAGTTTGTCGTTTGCACACGTGGCCTACGACAGTGACATGTGAATATAATGCAATTACGAGAGAGATAGTGCATCCTCTTACCTGAAAAAATATCATATTGGTCATGTTATTTGATCACAACCACTCATGATGAGATAAGAGAGAGAAAAATATATAATTTTCAAATAAATGGTTGTAATCAAATAACATGATCACATGACCACTTTTCCACGTGAGAGAATCCACTCCCGTCCTGAGATAACTAAGTTAGGATTTGACTAATTATCCTCCATTCTTAACCTAAATTTCATACTCGTACCACCCCTTATAAAAGTATAAAATGATTCATATTGTTTTAATTTAAGAGATTAGGTTTCGGAAATGTTAATTGTACAGAAATTTTATAATCAAATAGTTTAAAATGAAGTTCAAAGCACTCTTACACCATTAACATGTTATAAAAATACAAAATTATTTATAAATGTTCGAATAATAGTTTAAACTTTTTCGTAAAGTTAGTTTAAACATAAATGCGACTGGCCATGCTGAGAAAGGTCCTGATCCACTAGATTGGGTGGTAAGTTGGGTTAGAATAGTCCAGGTCACTTCGATTGGCCCATTTTCGAATTATGGACCCAAATCTTAAAGCCTTGTGAGTCATTAACGATGACCCAATGTTATTATTAACTTTTAAAGAAATAAAAACAACCTCTTCGTAACTCTTGACATCCACGAGCGTGTGTGCTGGGATATTATTAATAAATAAACCAATTTAAATATTAGTTAATATTATGTTTATCTTTAAGTTTCAATAAGTTAAAATTATAATATATCATGTATAAAAAAACTATGATATATTTTAAATTAAATTAAAGATATATATTTTATTTACGGACTTTACATACGAGTTCAGTTTAAGTTCATGTTAAAAAAAAAAAAAAAATGTGAAAGTTAAAATCTGGTACAGTCATTGTCATGTGGATTCGTTACCCGCTATGAATACACAACGACATTGGTTTTCCTTGTCTTTTTCTGAATTTAATACGATTCATTAAGTCAAGCTACCACAGAAAAGTGGTTGTTATGAACTAATATATTATCCAAAAAAAATTATTAGGTCCACTCTCATATTCTTCGTCACGAAGAAAATACATTCCACAAGATTTTTCAGTTGATAATAGGTGTGATGATATTTTTTTAACTTCTCTATAACCTCATCTCAAGCGACCTACACTTACAAACAATAGAGAGATTTTGCAGCCTTACCCACTTGTTGGAAAAAATCAGATAAGGGTGACAATTCAGGTTAATAACTTAATATGATATGAAACGAATGTAAATATTACGAATTTAAAATGGGATCTATTAATCTCATGTTGCAGAGACAAGATTGTGGGGTCCACTACTTTTTAAAAAATAAAAATAAAAAATAAAATAGTGGACCCCACTATTTTATCTCTGTTATGAGATAATTATTTCCCATTTAAAATTGAGTTAAAAAATTTTATACTAACACAATTCACTTATTTGACAGGTTAACATAATATGACATAAATAACTTGTAATTATAGTCATTAATGAAAAATTTGTTCAGAACTGAGAAGAGTTAATAATGCAATTTAAATCTTACTTATTTACTTGTTTACAACAAATCTTACTTATTTACTTACCCAAAAAAAATCATTTATTTTTCCTCTTAATAAAAGAGTATGTTAGTAACGAAGATTTGCACCCACTAATGACATAAGTGAAAATCTTGTATATACAAATAGTACAGCAAGTTGATGTCAAAATGAGGTACACTCCAACATTCTCCATTGAAAAGTAGGACCTCATAAATATAAAATGGGGAAAGAAAGTTAAACCTTAGATCTGTTACTTAATTAGAAGCATCCAATGATTAACTTAGAGTTTTGAGTTATTTTGCTCTATTAAACCCTTTATTTAGTATTTAATCTGCACCCATGCTTCCAAACAAAGCAAATGTTTTTTCTGGTAAAATTTTATTTTGTTGGCAGATTTTATTTTAAATTTTAAATTTTTTTTTTTTATGATAAACTTTTAAAGATCAGTCAATAGTAGCGCTGTGCATGGAGACACTCTCTTTAAGGATACTGAAATGGATACAGCTCATTGATTAGATAATACTATCTGACAAACATCAATAAATATAGGTATACCAGTCCTTTCCTTCTGCTGAAGAATCCTATTGTTTCTAATTCTCTCTTTCCCCACACCGACACAACAATACCTCATGGTCTTATCTGGGTGTAGAAAGCTCCAAAAGTTAAAGGGAAAAGAGAAGTGTAAGAAAAAGAAGAGTTATTTAAATAAAAAGAAAAGAACTTGCCAAATTCGTTTGTTTTAGTTTCAATACTTAGAAAGGCAAAAGAGAGAGAGAGTCATTTTCCCATTTCCACATCTTAGCTTAAGAGTTAGAAAGAGATTGGAGATATGGGTTACTTCAGGAAGCTGGAGTCTTTCTTATTGTTGTTAGTGTTGCTGGTGACATGTGCAAGTGGGGAGGATCCTTATAGGTTCTACACTTGGAATGTTACCTATGGAGACATATATCCTCTAGGAGTTAAACAACAGGTACCTTTTTTTTTTCTTTTTTCTTTTTTCTTTTTCACCTTGTTCTTCATTTTTGTGTTTGATGAATGTAAAGAATATTTGGTGTATGAAAATGGCAGGGGATATTGATAAATGGGCAGTTCCCAGGGCCACAGATCGAGTCCGTGACCAATGATAACTTGATCATCAATGTTTTCAATAGTTTGGATGAACCTTTCCTTTTCTCTTGGTTAGTTTTTTTCTCTCTCTCTTTCTGTGGGAACTTTCTTGTTTAAAAGTATCAGTGTTAAACTAATGTTAAGATGATGTGATTCTTTATAGGAATGGGGTGCAACAAAGGAGGAATTCATGGCAAGATGGAGTCTATGGTACAAACTGTCCAATCCCAACAGGGCAGAACTTCACTTATGTTCTTCAAGTGAAGGATCAGATTGGTAGCTACTTCTACTTTCCTTCCCTTGCATTCCACAAGGCAGCAGGAGGTTATGGTGGTTTCAAAATTGCTAGCCGCTCGGTGATTCCTGTTCCTTTTCCTCCTCCAACAGGAGATTTTACCATATTGGCTGGTGACTGGTACAAGAGAAATCACACTGTAAGTAGCTTGCTTTGCATTAATGTTAATTAGTCTTCAATTGCATATTTGCTCTAACTAAGGTAACATTTGTGTCACATAAATATTTCAGGGTGATCCGAACTAGTTTTTTTCTTGAACCAAACCGAATTGGTTTAAATCAGTCCCACTTAAAAAGCCTAATTATTTTATTTAATCCAAATCGGTTTTATTTTTTCCCGATTTGAAACTGGTACTAAACTGGTTTAGAAATAATTTGGAATTGGTTTACGTTTCAAAACCAGTTTATGATTTATAACCCGTTTGGAACTAGTTAGGGTATACAAACCAGTTCTGCGCAAGAACCTGAGAGCAGATGAGGGTGAGAACATGTGTTCTATTCTCCGTACCGTTTTTGGAAGGGGCTTAAAGCCTTAATCCCGGGACCCGTCCCAAATTGGACTAGTCGCGAAGCAATAAACCGATCAGAATATCTTGAAACAAAAAAAAAAAAAGTTTTGAATTAGGTTTTCAAAACCAGTTCTTTTGGTTCAATTGTTTATAAAACCAGTTCAGTTCTTAAAATTTATTTAGAAAAATACAGTTTGATTTAGTTTAGTTATTTTGTGAAGCCTTACTTTCTGTAATTTATTTTCTGGTTTTATGGTGTTTGATATGGAAAATATTTTCTGAAAAACATAAAAAGAAGAAGAAGATATTTTCATCAAGAAAGAGTCTACAATGTTTAAGAAATTTCACCAAAACCATTAGTATATTTGTATTTATTCTTGCAGGATCTGAGGGCCATTCTAGACAGTGGAAGTGACCTTCCTTTCCCTGATGGGCTTATCATCAATGGTCGTGGTTCCAATGCTTATACATTCACGGTTGATCAAGGTATAGTACAACAACTTCAAGCATTTTGTTTACTTGGAAGCTGAAGCTATAATGGGGGACATTAAGCACAATGTACTTGCTTATTGAACAGGCAAGACTTACAGATTCCGGATATCAAATGTTGGGCTTACAACTTCCATCAATTTCAGAATCCAAGGACATAAGATGATGCTAGTTGAAGTGGAAGGAATCCACACTCTCCAAAACACTTATGATTCCCTTGACATTCATTTGGGGCAGAGTTACTCTGTATTGGTTACTGCTGATCAACCACCCCAAGACTATTACATTGTTGTCTCATCAAGATTCACCACTGAAGTGTTGACTGCTACCTCCATTCTTCATTATAGTAACTCAGCAGCAAGTATTTCTGGTCCTCCACCGGGGGGGCCAACAATACAAATTGATTGGTCTCTTGAACAAGCTCGCTCTCTCAGGTATTACTTCAATACATATTCAAAAGTTCAATGATACAAGTGGTTGTCTCACTTGGCTGGCATGTACATATATCACTTCCAGTTTGTTAAATTCTTTCATACACATTTTCATCTACTTCTGTATTAATTATCTATGGATGATTAGATTATATATAGTTGGAGATTATTTTGCCCACAATTTTCCTTGTTGGACTCACCTCTCAAATTCCTTGAGAACTTACAATCAAACATGCATAAATTAAGATGACAAGATTACATAGTTATGCTGGGAAATTTGTTTGTTATATGGTCTCTGAAATAATTTATATAAAATAGCTCCATATTAACTATATAACATTTGATAATTAAATCAGGCGGAATCTGACAGCTAGTGGACCAAGACCTAATCCACAAGGATCTTACCATTATGGTTTGATAAACACAACACGTACAATTAGACTTCAAAATTCAGCACCAATTATCAATGGCAAGCAGAGATATGCTGTCAATAGTGTGTCCTTCATCCCAGCTGATACACCACTTAAACTGGCTGATTACTTCAAGATCCCAGGAGTTTTCAACCTTGGAAGTATCCCGGACAACCCCACCGGCGGCGGCGGCTACCTACAGACTTCTGTCATGGCCGTGGATTTCCGAGGCTATGTTGAGCTTGTGTTTGAGAATCCTGAAGACAGTTTGCAATCATGGCACATTGATGGTCACAACTTCTTTGTTGTAGGGTAAGTTCTCCTAACTCATTGTAATATGTCTTTACACTAAGAGAGATATTTCAGCTTCAAAGCAAAAAAAGGAGGTAATAATATAACATATTTGTGACGTTCATATATTTAGAATGGATGGAGGTCAATGGTCAGCTGCAAGCAGGTTAAATTACAATTTGAGAGACACGATATCTCGTTGCACAGTTCAGGTACCTATGTTTATAAATTTTTCATATAGGATGTAAGTGAATTATATGGTAAAATTGTGACTGAAAAATATGCATTGGCTTGTGTTTTGGTGCACAAAAACAACAAAGGTGTATCCCAAGTCATGGACAGCAGTGTACATGCCTTTGGACAACGTGGGAATGTGGAATGTGAGGTCGGAGAACTGGGGTCGTCAATACTTAGGACAACAATTTTATGTTCGTGTGTATTCCTCAGCTAATTCGTGGAGAGATGAGTACCCAATACCAAGTAATGCTTTGCGGTGTGGACGAGCTATAGGCCATTGAACTCGTTCTTTATATATAAAGCCACCGAGATTGAGATCTTTATTCAACATGAGTCGGTCATTCATTTCCATTAAAGGCTTAACTCGAGCCAATTTCCTTTGTTTGCACCGTCTGTCATAATACAATATAATTGAATATAGGTCATGGATTGCTCTCTTGTTAAGTTCAAATTTAACTCATTGGATCATCTGTGGCAGGATATTCATATTTTTTTGTGTGTGGATAAATTACATATATTTTCCACGGGAAGCAATCTTTGTTGTTGTCATATTTAAATGATATATTTTGTCTTCTTGTCATCTCTTACCATTCAAAGTAATTCATATTGTTGTTGGGTTTCTTTTATTATTGTTGTTACTTGTTACTACATTTCTTTTCAATTGGTATGATAAATTAAGAGGAATCTTGAGGCTTTATCTCCTTTCAATGCTTGTTACGGATATTGTAAACTTCACATTAGTTGCACATACAACCAATGTAGGATTATATATCTCAACACGCTCCCTCACACAAGAGCCCATTGGGCTTGAAGAGTGGATGATGCAATAGGTCCAGCGTACCTCTGCTAAGAAAGTCCACAAGAGAAAGTGGAGAGCGGCGAGACTTTGATACCATGTAAAGAATATTGGGATACACCATTCCAAAAGTTAGCTCAAAGAGTGAGAATGTCTTATAAATTTCACATTAGTTGCACATACAACCAATGTGGGACTATATATCTCAACAGATATAATTTTCAGTGTTACAGGAGTACTTAACTGAGTATTCTGAGTATTCATTTTTTTAAACGTTGGGAAGCACGAAAGATTTTCCACGTTTGAAAAAAAGGGAAGCACCGAAGATTTGTCCGCTCGCTACACATCCGGTTATTAAGATCACAACGTATCTAACTCTTTGTTTTAAGTTGTGACCTCTTTTAGTGTTTTTGATTATTACACTTAATATTCTTTATTTTAAAAAAATATACTTGCGTTGTTTAAATTAAAAATGACTACTCATATGAAAGTAATAATAATAAAATTTTCCAACTAACGTATAACAAGTTTTGGTATATTTAAAATTCCAATTATATTTTTTTAACAACTATAGTAAATAATTATTTTTGTCATTTTTTTAATTTTTTTTAAATTTCATAAAAGCATTTAAGTTTATTGAATCGCAATTCCAAAAGGTGAGTTATGTTATTTTTTGAATCGTGAATATAAATCTTGAATCATAAGATTTAAATATGGGGAATATTAATCTTATGTTACATGAGAGTATTATCTCATGCTATAGAGAGAGTTTAAGTGGGGTCCACCATTAAAAAGTAAAAAAGAAAAAGAAAGAAGAAGGGGTGCGATTTTCGATGTGAGAGAAAATGAGATAACTACCTCATGTAAAATGAGAGTAATATTTCCCTTTAAGTATATAATAAAAATAATTCAAAATATATCGTATAAATGATGTATTATAAATCGTCAAATAGATATGGTATTTTTTTAATGATAAATATTTAATAAAAAAATAAGAAAAATAAAATTATAATATAAAAATTAAATACAAGTTAGATTTGAAATATAATAATATTTTTTTTTCATAACTTTAGTTCGAGCTCCTCAAATAAATTTACTTTTTTAACCCATCTCAAATAGATTCAAAATATATTTTGATATAAATATATAAGATATAAAGAATAAAATTATAATTTGATAAAAGATATATTTAAATATGATATCTTTTTGTCTAATAGCCAATTTCAAATAAGTTAATTAAAGTAGCAACTATATATATGCTAATTAAAAAATAAAAAAACCATAACTCATAAGTAACCAAGTGATCAAAGTACACATATTAAAAATTATTCTTGAGGTAACCCCTCAAGGGTAGCAATTGAGCTCCCAAAGATTTGCTTGGGTCAGGGTTTCAAACTCTGTCTCAAATTCTCAGCACAGAGGATAAATTAATAAAATAGATTTCTTTTCCCCTCACACTACCTTTTATCTTTGATTAATTGAATATTAAATTCTCAAATGTTGATTTAGGTATTTTGTTAATTTATTTCCAAATTAAATCATAATAACCATATCATATATCAATATTGTTTACCTGATTATGTATTTTCAAATTTAAATACTTGCCAATAGCTGAATTAATATTTTTTTAATTAATCATAATATTATCATAGACATTAACCCTTATACTAAGCATTTTTTATAAAAATAAAAAAATATAAATCTTGCTAAATTTTAAGAAAGAAAACTATTGCTTTCCTAAAAATTCATTCGTGATATTTATTAGTTTATCATGGGTCCATATGAATTTTGGGGTCATTTCTCATGTCTAATTTATCTACTTTACTTTTCTCCTTAAATTATAATCTGACCTTCGTTATATATCTCTTTTTTTTAGTATTAACGTTATATATCTCTTTTGAGATAGTGTGATCTAAAGATGTCGTAGATAAATAAATAAATTATATATATATATATATAGGAGGGATATATTTATAAACTCCATTATGTACTAGGGATAGTACACTGTGTGGTGGAATGTACTACTGCTAGTACATAATATAGTTTGTAAACAAAAAATTTATAAATATAACTTTTTTCATATATATATATATATATATATATATATATATATATATATATATATATATATATATATATAAGGATATGTTATTATACTTATTATTATTTTACCTACTTTTGTTTATCATTTTCAATACCGATAAATTATAATTTCATCTAACAGTGGAGAATTGCAACATTTTATCCTATTCTTTCTCCCTCATTGTCTCTCATCCTTTCTCTCTCCTCCCACCCTTTCTTTCTATCCACAAAAGATAAATTAAAACTCACAATAAGATTTTAAGTTTGTTATTAGAACTTTTTTGTTTGTCAGCAAAATGCAAGAATTGTTTCCAACCAAAATATTTTATTTTTTTTGGTATCCCACTACTAGAAAATGTTTTTTTTTCGACGGAAAAATTCCGTCGAAAATGATTAAAATTCTGTCGAAAATGATGTTTTCGACGGAAATGAAGCCGTCGAATATATGTTCGTGGGTAACAATTTTTTCGACGAAATTACAGATTCCGTCGAAAAATTTCGACGAAAATTTCAACGGAATAATTTCTGTGGGAAGTTTCGACGGAAAAATAATTCTGTCGAAAATTTTCGACGGAAAATGAATGAAATTCCGTCAAAAAATCTTGTCTCAATTTGTGACGGAAAATAAATTCCGTCAAAAAATTTCGACGGAAAATGAATAAAATTCCGTCGAAAATTGTTGTAATGGTTTTCGACGGAAAACTGATTCCGTCAAAAATTTTCGACGAAAAATCAAAGAAATTCCGTCGAAAAATGTTGTAATGGTTTTCGACGGAAAACTGATTCCGTCAAACAATTTCGACGGAAAATCAATGAAATTCCATCGAAAAATCTTGTATTAATTTTCGACGCAAAATAAATTCCGTCGAAAGTTTTTGACGAAAAACAAATTCCGTCAAAATTTTTTGATAGAGAATGAATAAAATTCCGTCAAAAAATTTTGTAATCATTTTTTACAAAAAATGAATTAAATTCTGTCAAAAACTATTGCCTTAATTTTCAACGAAATTGCTTTTTTGTCAAATTTCATTTTAATTTTGCTCTACAAAATTAATACCTATTTATCTTTTGCACTTGATTAACAAATATAAAGACAGTAAATAATATATCAAATTCATATTGATCTTAATATAATTATGTGTACAAAAGTCTCTGTTATATACTAATGAAAAAAGTCTATGTCCATGTCATATACATCCAAACAAGATACAAAAATCATGTTTTACAGCCCTTTTCTGTTGCTGTGGAGCCCTCTTCTATTGTTGTGCAGCCCTTTCCTCTTGTTGTGCAACTGTACCTGTAGGCATGTAAAATATTTAAAACACAAATAATTGGAAAAGCACAACAAATCTAACATAATATATAATCTGAAGTTATACAACCAACCAAAAATACTTACTCATATTTTCCAATGGCTTCTTCAAGTTAACAACTTACTGCTGCAAAGGTAATATTAATGGTCTACAGATAAAAATTGTAGATATAAGCTTGTGGTTACAAATACAACCAAAAATGAACATAAGAAACAGAGAGGGGAAAAAAGAAGGAAAAGAGGCCAACAATAATTCATTTGTAATATATATATATATATATTAGGATTTTTTATTTTTTGCAAATTTTTTAATATATATATATATATATATATATATATATATATATATATATATATATATATATAAAAGTTACTTTAGTTTTATAAGTTAAGTATGTTATATATATATAACTAACGTAACTTTTATAAGTTACGTAGCCTTATAATTGTAAATCATATTTCTTACGTCAAAAAGTATTTTTTCCCTCATATATACATTTAATTAATTTTGGTATTAAATTGTGCAACTGTAACTCTACCGGATTATTATGCCTACCTGATTGTAATTGTAATTCATGTCTGTTCCAATGTAAGTGGGTGGGTACCCGATATAACGTGAACAAAATTAATTAACTATCAAATTAAAATAGTTAATGGGGGTACTGAAATACTCTATCTGGTTGTCCTATTACTCCATTAGACTATTAGTACAAAAAATAACAGAGAAAAAATAATAAAAGATATAACATTTAAACTATTATTTAACTCTATATTCTTAAATCATTGATAAAAAGCAATCTATATTTAGAGCAAAAAAGTCACGTACCTATCAATCTATATATAAGGCCAGTATTTGCATATCCAGAGCCACATATCTGAGAAATATATAGAGCAAAAAAGAATATAAGAAACATATTTTTTTATGAAAGTTTAACAATATTGAGCATGGGAAAAGTTCATCTCTCTATAGGGCAGAGGACAAAATACTGACCCAAAGGTGCACCACCACCTTTGGCTCGATTGCTTCGTGTAAATTCGCAAGCTTGAAACAAGTATATTGTTTTATATGAGGACTAAGAAAACCAAAAGAA